TGGGGACACTGGGGACACTGGGGACACTGGGGACACTGGGGCTCTGGGGGCTTTGGGGACACTGGGGACAATGGGGACACTGGGGACACTGGGGACATTGGGAATATGGGGAACACAGGATATTTGGGGCACTGGGGACACTGGGGACACTGAGGATATTTGGGATACCGGGAACATTGGTGGCTTTGAGGACGCTGGGGACATTGGGAGTATTGGGGACATTGGGGTCATTTGGGACATTGGGGACACTGGGAATATGGGGAACACAGGATATTGGGGACATTGGTGGCACTGGGGACATTGGTGGCTTTGGGAACATTGGGGACACTGGGAATATGGGGAACACGGGATACTGGGGACATGGGGCGATTGGGGACATTGGTGGCTTTGGGGACACTGGGGACACTGGGGACGCTGAGGACATTGAGGATATTGGGAAGATTGGTGGCTTTGGGGACACTGGGGACTTTGGAGGTATTGGGAACATTTGGGACACTTGGGAACATTGGGGACACTGGGAATATGGGGAACGGGATACTGGGGACATTGGGTGACTGGGGACATTGGTGGCTTTGGGGACACTGGGGACATTGGGGATATTGGACACATTGGTGGCTTTGGGGATATTGAGGACATTGGAGGTATTGAGGGCTTTGGGGACACTGGGATGAGGGGATAAGGGGACGGGTGACACGGGTGACACGGTGACACGGTGACACAGTGACACGGTGACACGGGTGCCAGCGTGGTGTCACCTGTCTCTGGCAGCCCTCGACGATGATCAGCTTCTGCTGGGGGGACGTGCGGGCGAAGACGATCTCGGTGTGGTTGCGCAGGATCTCGTCCAGCTGCTCCGAGCTCATGTCCTTCAGGTCCGAGCCGTGCACCACGCACGCCTTGGCCTCCCTGGGGGTCAGCGCCCCAAAATCAGCACCCCAAAATCGGCACCCCAGAATCGGCACCCCAGAATCAGCACCCCAAAAATGGCACCCCAAAATCGGCACCCCAAAAATGGCACCCCAAAATCGGCACCCCAGAATCAGCACCCCAAAATCGGCACCCCAAAATCGGCACCCCAGAATCGGCACCCCAGAATCAGCACCCCAAAAATGGCACCCCAAAATCGGCAACCCAAAATCGGCAACCCAAAAATGGCACCCCAAAATCGGCACCCCAAAATCGGCAACCCAAAATCGGCAACCCAAAAATGGCACCCCAAAATCGGCACCCCAAAATCGGCAACCCAAAATCGGCACCCCAAAATCGGCACCCCAGAATCGGCAACCCAAAATCGGCACCCCAGAATCAGCACCCCAAAATCGGCACCCCAAAATCGGCAACCCAAAATCGGCACCCCAAAATTTCCAGGAAAACCCCCCCCAGGATCCCAAAATCCCTGGGATCACCCCCAGGATCACCCCAAAATCCCCACCCCAGCTCGTGTCCTTCAGGTGTGATCCGTGAACCAAACACACCTTGGCCTCCCTGGGGGTCACGGTGGGGTCAGCACCCCAAAATTCCTGGGAAAACCCCCTGGGACCCCCAAATCCCCTCAACTTCCCCTACCTGGCTCACTTGGGGTTTCCCTGGCTCACCTGGGGCTCACCTGGAGCTCACCTGAGGTTCCCCTGCGGTTCCCCTGGGGTTCCTCTGGGGCTCACCTGGAGCTCACCTGGTGTTCACCTGTCTCACCTGCGGTTCCCCTGGGGTTCCTCTGGGGTTCACCTGGCTGACCTAGAGCTCACCTGGGGTTCCCCAAATCTCACCTGGGGTACCCCAAATCTCCCCTGGTGTTCACCTGGCTGACCTAGAGCTCACCTGGGGTTCCCCAAATCTCACCTGGGGTTCACCTGGCTGACGGGGATGTTGAGGCGCGCCGCGATGTCCTCCACGGTCTCGTTGCCCTCGGAGATGATCCCCACGCCCTTGGCAATGGCCTTGGCCGTGATGGGGTGGTCCCCGGTCACCATGATCACCTGGGGGGCACCGTCAGGCCTGGGCACACCTGGGCACACCTGGGGACACCTGGGCACACCTGGGCACACCTGGGGACACCTGGGGACACCTGGGCACACCTGGGCATACACCTGGGGACACCTGGGGATACCTGGGGCACACCTGGGCACACCTGGGGACACCTGGGGCACACCTGGGGGACACTTGGAGACACCTGGGCACACCTGGGGCACACCTGGGCACACCTGGGGATACCTGGGGCACACCTGGGGATACTTGGAGACACCTGGGGGCAGCTGGGGACACCTGGGGACACCTGGGGGGACACCTGGGGCACCCCAGAATGGGGGGGGGGACAAGGGGAAATGGGGTTCTGGGTGGGCTCAGAGGGAGTTTTGGGGTCCCAGGTGGGGATTTTGGGTCCCAGGTGGGATTTTGGGATCCAGGTGGGGATTCTGGGATCCAGGTGGGAGTTTTGGGATCCCAGGTGAGGTTTTGGGGTGCTGGGTGGGATTTTGGTGTCCTGGGTGGGATTTTGGTGTCCTGGGCGGGTTTTGGGGTCCTGGGTTGGGGTTTTGGTGTCCAGGTGGGGACTTGGGGATTCAGGTGGGGATTTTGGGTTCCTGAGTGGGGGTTTTGGGGTCCCGGTGGATTTTGGGTTCCTGAGTGGGGGTTTTGGGGTCCCGGTGGGTTTTGGGGTCCCAGGCGGGGGTTTTGGGGTCCCGGTGGGTTTTGGGGTCCCACCTTGATGCCGGCGCTCCGGCACTTGCCGACGGCGTCGGGCACGGCGGCGCGGGGGGGGTCGATCATGGACATGAGCCCCACGAAGCAAAGGTCACTGGTGGGGAAGTTCACCTCGTCCGCGTCGAAACGGAACCCGCGGGGGAACTTGTCCGGGGGCAGGTACAGGTGGCAGAACCCTGGGGACACCGAGGGGATGGTGAGACACCAAAAACACCAAAAACACCCCAAGGAACCCATGAGGAACCCCAAAAACACCCCCGGAAACCCATGAGAGACCCCAAAAACACCAGAAACACCCCCAGGAACCCATGAGAGACCCCCAAAACACCACCGGGAACTTGTCCGGGGGCAGGTACAGGTGGCAGAACCCTGGGGACACCGAGGGGATGGTGAGACCCCAAAAACACCAAAAACACCCCGAGGAACCCATGAGGAACACCAAAAACACCCCCAAGAACTTCTGTAAGGTGACAGAACCCTGGGGACACCGAGGGGATGCTGAGACCCCAAAACCACCAAAACCACCCCGAGGAACCCATGAGGAACACCAAAAACACCCCCAGGAACTTCTGTAAGGTGACAGAACCCTGGGGACACTGAGAGGTTGGGGGTGCAGCACCCCGGGGACCACCAGGACCCCCCGGGTGTACCCAGGACCCCTCAGAACCTCCTCAGGACCCCCTTGAGGCCCCAAAAATTCTCCAGGCCCCCCCAGGTGTACCCAGGACCCTCTCCCCAAGCCCCCCCAGCTCCAGGTAGATGTTGTGGAAGGTTCCTCCTCCATGTTCATCCAGGTGCTGCTCTCCCGGGAACCCCCAAATCCCCCCAGGCCCCCCCTGGGACCCCTCTAGGACCCCCCAAATCCCCCCAGGACCCCCTGGGACCCCTCTAGGACCCCCCAAATCTCCCAGGACCCCCCAGATGTACCCAGGACCCGAGCCCCGAGCCCCCCCAGCTCCAGGTGGGGATTCTGGAAGGTTCCTCCATGTTCTTACCCAGACTTTTCTTCCCCAGATCTCTTCTGAGACCCCCAAATCCCCCTCAGGACCCCCTTGGAGACCCCCAAATCCCCCTCAGGACCCCTCTAGGACCCCAAAACTCCCCCCAGGCCCCCCCGGGCGTACCCAGGACCCTCTCGCCGAGCCCCCCCAGCTCCAGGTAGGCGTTCTGGAAGGCCTCGCGCATCTCCTGGTCCAGGGGCTGCTCCTGGCCCTGCAGGAGGATGCGGGAGCAGCGGTCCAGGATGCGCTCGGGCGCGCCCTTCATCACCAGCAGGTAACCCTGGGGGTCCTCCTCGCGCTCGTGGATGGACAGCTGGACACGGGCATGGGCAGGGCACAGGGGTCACCCGGCGGGGTCACCCCGGGGTCACCGGGGTCACCCCAGGGTCACCCAGAGCCAACCCAGGGTCACCGGTGCCACCCCAGGGTCACCCAGTACCATCTCAGGGTCACCCCGGGGTCACCCAGAGCCAACCCAGTGCTACCCCAGGGTCACCAGTGCCACCCCAGGGCCACCCAGAGCCAGTTCCCAATCCCAGTGCCCATCCCAGTACCCCCAGTGCCCCCAGTGCCCATCCCAGTGCCCCCAGTGCCCA